ATACATATTCTGATATATATATATATAATATATAGATATATATATATATATATATAGATATTTTCTAATTTCGTTCGATCAATACAATTTTATTTGAATCGAAACACGAGAATCTTTATTGATAAATTTATAAGAGAAATTATATTGTTATTATTATTATTTACAAGATATCAATTATTAATTATTATTTTAAACTTAGAATTTGAAGATAGAATTCAAACTATCGTTAAAATCACATAATATTTTTTTTAGCTATATTATACATATTCGTTGTTTAAATGGTTGGAAAATTATATAAATTTTCGATATTATGCTAAAATTTTCAGAAATAAGAAAGGTATAATATAACAAAATATAACAGTTAAAATATTTGGCATATAAAAAATAAAAAAAAAAAAAATCAAAGAACTTGGCAGATTAAAAAGTTTCACGAAGAAATTGTTGTTAACATAAAATGTAATACACTTGTTAGTTCAGCTATGGATTGAAATAAAAAGATTCGTACCACTTTTGACGCAACTAGAGCGTGCAAAAAAACGTTAGAGATTCGTAAAACAACGAAATTGCTTGCTCTTGAAGACATCTTTTGTCCTCGTGGATCATCGAAAAGAGATTTGGAGCGGAACCATTTACTTTACCAATTCAAGAGATTTGAACAGATAGCTATATTATAAAATCGTGTGAATTATTTATATGAAACGATGTAGAATAAACGGTCGATTTAACTAATATTTAGTAAAAATTTAAAAGTCTTCTTACAGTTCTGTTACTTTATTTATTATATTTTAAAAATTATGTTACATTATGTTACATGTAATATTAAAAAACAATAAAATTTAAAATTTGAATTTGAAAATAGTAATTTAATAATTGATCGAATTAAATTAATTAATCGAATTAAAATAATTAAGTTTCAAATTATTATTTATGAATTTCAGGAAGAATATATATCGGAACATATAAAATGGACTCCAATAGAATATTTTAATAATGCAATTGTTGTCGAACTTTTAGAAGGCAAACGTTTACCAGGACTCTTCTTAATCCTTGACGATGTATGTGCAACTCTTCATAGTGGTAGTACTGGCGCAGATGTAAACTTACAAAAGGTAAATGATACTATAAAAATATATAAAAATTACTAATAATTTTCATAAACTATTTCTTATGATATTATAATATGATAATAATATAATAATATTATAATATGATATTATATATAGATTATCTTTATATGTTTGATATCTTGAAATTTTCGAGATATTCTTTTAAAATTTTGATGCTGATTTGTAGATAATTTTTTCTTTATCTATAATTATTTAAGATGAAAACATTCATTAAAGATTTACATTCTTTACATCTTGAAGAATCAATGTTGTGATGAAAATTGTGATTAAAAAGAAAAAGAAAAAAAAAAATATTCATTTATTTTCATATAAACCTGCAAAGTTTAATTTTTAAAAAGAATTAAATTTTTGAAATATTGAATTTTCTAATAAAAACAGTAATTTCTATAAAAATATTATTGACTTTCAATTATTGAATTTTTTTTACAAATATTCTAGATTAAATTCTTTTTCTTTTTAAATTTATTATGCTTCTCCAATAAATATTTTATATAACAGAAAATCTAGATGCATAAAATTTTAAATAGCTAAATATTCATACAATATTAACAAAATCAATTTTATTGTTAAATTTACAATTAATGTAATAAAATCTTCATATTCAAAAAATTTATTAATTATTAATTAATAATTTCAAAATTATTAATTAAATTTTCTTCACAAATAGAAATATTGGATAGTAGTGAGGTTTATATCCAATGATATTCTTCGATTTTTAATTTTTAATTTTGCAATTATTACTTCTGATTCTTAATTATTAAAATTTTTTTATTTTTAGTTTTATTTTTGATAATTAAATAGATAATTAATAATCATTTTTAAAATTTTTAAACATTTATATTAAATATTCTATATATTAATATTTATAAAAATTGACATAACATGAATTCAATAAGATAATATGATTAAAATGATATTAAAAATTCATTTAAGTTAATTTATTTTCTTCGTATATATTTTTATATAATATTTTTTTATAATCTTTATTCATTCGATTAATCTTAGTAATAATTGCAGAAACTTGCAGCTGCAGCTAATAAACACGAGCATTTCCAAAGCACGAATGATGGATTTGCTATTTACCATTATGCTGGTGTAGTTTCTTATTCGGTTGATGGATTTTGTGATAAAAATCGTGATGTACTTTTCATTGATCTCGTGGAATTAATGCAAACAAGCAAAAAGTAAGTTATTATTATCTTCTAATTTGTTATTAATAATATACACATATAATGAATATAATAACGTCTTTATAATATTTTCTATTATTATTTATAAATTTCTAAATACAACAGAAGATTTTGAAAGTCATAAAAATCTTTTCTTTAAAAAAATACATAATAATAAATATTTAAAAAAATATGCTTTTGTTTGATAAATATAAAAATTCTACAATAATCAATTTTAATATTCAATCTTAATATGACAATAATTGAGCCTTATCTTATATTTAAAATTTATATAATTTTATATAAGAAATAATTGATTTTAATTTAAAAATAGAAATATTAATATTTCTTAAATAATATATATAAAATTTTCGATAAGTATTTAAAAAGATTTGATAAAAAATGAAATTATCTTTTAATTTGATTAACAAGAAATTTATAAATTTTTTTTTTATTTTTTGTCTATTTTAAAAATAAATATTATTTTATTATTCTATTATATTGTAAATCAAAAATCAAAAAAACAATATATAATTTTATTTTAAGATATAATATAAATTGATATGATATTAAAAATATATGAAATATATTATGATTTTTCAGTTCTTTGATTCACAAATTGTATCCGCAAGAACTTCAAACAAATAAAACAAAAACGCTTAAATCTAGACCTACTACTGCTGGTAGTAAGATAAGAAATCAAGCAAGTCGATTGATGAATCAATTAATGAAATCTATACCACATTATATTAGATGTATCAAACCAAATGAAACGAAAAGACCTCGAGATTGGGATTCAGTTAGAGTAAAACATCAAGTATGTTTTTTTTTTTTTTTCATAAATTTAATAAGATCTTGATTTTTATTTATTTATTACAATTAATTTAATAAGATTCAAAAAAGAAATATTTAAATAATTTTTTATATATGTTTACTTAAGAAAAAAATTTATATATCCTTAAAAAAAAATATTAAATAAAAATAAGAAAATTAAAATCATGTAGCTTTGAGTTATATGAATTAAAGTCATTTATAGTCATATAATACATTTAAAATTTGAACAATTTAGAAAGAGAAATATTTTCATATTTGGATGTCCTATTAATATATGTATTAATTTCATATATAACAAATATCTTATAATAGTAAATATCTTATTTAATAATAATGTAATATTTTATTATAATATATTTTATATTAAACATAATTTTATTTACATTTAACATATATATTGCATATATTGTCATGCACAAAAAAATGAAAAATTTTCACATTACATTTTTATATATATTTATTAATAATAATTTAATATAATTTGATATTTATTAATAATAATTTTTCCAATTAATATTTATATTTTTATGCTATTTAGGTAGAATATTTAGGTTTAAAAGAAAATATCAGAGTGCGTAGAGCTGGTTTTGCATATAGAAGAACATTCGCCAAATTTTTACAGAGATATAGAATTCTAACGAAAGAAACATGGCCGTATTGGTCCGGTGATGAAAAACAGGGAATCGAATGGATATTAAATAGCCTTAATATTCGGAAATCACAATATCAACTTGGAAAAACAAAATTATTCATAAAAGTTCCTGAAAGTGTAAGTTTTATTCATATATATTAATATATATTATTCATATATACATATATATTAATTAATTCAATAATAATTATGAATAGTAGTTTTTATGATTTTTTATATTATTATATTAATTTTTTTGTGTATGAGCGTATACTATTAAAGTTTCATAATACATGTTATATTCTTGTGAGAATTCATTTGTACATCTTCTTTTTTGTTGAAAATTGGAATTATAAACTTTTTTTATAATTATTATTTATTTATTTAGCAATACCGAAAAAATGTTAAAATATTTTATTATAAGAATACGATTAAATAAATTTAAAATTAAAATAAGAAATTACTATTTGAAATAATTTAAATAATATTATTTTATTATTTTTTTATTTCATTTGGAAAAATAAAAAAAAAATAATCGCTAAAATAATTTTATAAATAGAAATTTAATAAATAAATCATATTGCATATTTTAATATTTATTATATAAATATTATCTAAATATTATTTGAATATTATTTTAAATAATATTATTTTAAATATGTCTAGATTTAAATATAATTTGTTTGTGATAAAAATGTGAAACTTTTAATTTACTAATAATTTTATAAAAATTTTATTAATTTTATAAAAATTTAATTTTATTTAAATTTATAAAAATTAATATAAAAATTAATAAATTATAAATTTATAATATAAAAATGTAATGTAAATTGTAAATGTAATAATGTAAATGTAAATTTATAATATAAAAATATAATGATTTTTAATAGCTTTTCATGTTAGAAGAAGCAAGAGATCGGAAATATAACATGTACGCTAGAATAATCCAAAAAGCATTTAAGAAATATTTCGCACGAAAAAGACACGAACAAGAAAAACAAGAAGCAGCTGATTTTTTGTTTGGCCGTAAAGAACGTAAACGTGCCAGTTTGAATAGAAATTTTATGGGTGATTATATTGGATTAGATGATAAGCCTCAAATATTAAATTTAATTGGAAAAAAGGAAAAAATTTTATTTACTGAAACTGCAAGAAAGTATGATAGAAGATTTAAGGTATTTATACAAATCTGTACAAAAATTAATTAATAAATTACGTAAATTAATAAATCAATGATGAATTATAGATGAGTAGAAAAGAACTTATTTTAACTAATAAATATTTATATCTTATTGGCCGAGAACAAATAAAAAAAGGTGCAGACAAGGGGAATCTAGTGGAAGTTATAAAACGAAAATTATCATTTAATCAACTTAGTCATGTATCGTTAAGTACTCTTCAAGTAAGTGAATATTATTATTATTGTTATATAATTTATATAATATATATAATTAATATGTAATTTTATTATTATAGTTTTATATATATATATATATATATATATGTAAATATATATATCGTAAAAAAAAAGAATGATTAAAATCAACTTTTCCTCTTTCACATACATTTTGCTCTTTTACTTTTATTTACATTTTTTTTTTATGTTAACTATTTCTTTTCTTTATTTTTAAAATATGATATTTTCATTCTTGAGGATGATCTTTAAATCTTTTTTCAATTAAGAATGTTATTACTTTATAAATACATAATTATTGTTATCAATAATTTCATAATTTTTACATTTTTCGATTTATGTATATTATATTGATTTACATATTACAATGTACAATTATTTCATAGATATTCTCTAATTATTTAATTATTATTCACTATTTAATTTATTAATCATTATTAATCACTATTTTTCTTTTCTCTATTACTGTTCCTTTATATGATGCTTTTTATTCATTGATGATTACAGGATGGTTTTCTTATTATCCATGTAAAAGAGGATTATGATAGTTTATTAGAATTAATATTTAAAACAGAATTTTTAATTCTTCTTAATAAAAAATACGTTCAAGAAACTGGACATATTTTAAATATAAGATTTAGTAACAAGTAAGATTATTAATACAACGAAAATAATAAAATGATTTAAAAAAATTAATTAATATGAAATATTTTTAATGTTATCTTATATAATTATTTTATAGTTTAGAATTTAAGATTAAAAAAGAAGGATGGGGAAGTGGAGGTACTAGACAAATACATTTCATGCAGAGTGATTATGGTAACAATGAAATTTTAAAGCCAAATGGAAAAATTCTAAATGTCTGGATTGGACCAGGATTACCAAGTACTACTAGTAAGTTAATAATAAAAATAAAAACAGTTTTAAAAGTAACTATTAATACTATATATGATCCATAAAGAAGATTATTTTCCTTTTAAATAATTGTTAATATGTAAATGTAATTGCATTAATTATAAATTTTTTTTTTATATTTTTTTTCATAGATTACTTTTCATTACAATTCTTTAATTATAAAATAAAAAAAATATTTTAAATAAATATTATGAACTTTGATGATAATAATTCAAATAATATAAAATTAATATAATAATTTTAATTTAAAACGAAGATTTTTCAAGTCTTCTAAAAGTTATCTCGTTTCGTAGTAATATGCATATATAAGTTAATGTGAAAATATTTGAACTATGTTTAATCTTAAAATTTAAAATAAATTAACAAAAGAAATATCTCGATTATTTATATGTATAAAAATTAATTTAAAGAAATTATTTTTTTCATACAATATTTAGAAAATAAATCTAGATATAAGAGTTAAAATTACTATTTTTAATATTTTTATTTTTGCAATTCATAAATGAAAAAATTTTTAATTAATAAATTGAAGAATCATAGTTATGTAAATCATATACAAAACATTTTGATTTATAAATTGATACTTAAAAGAAAAAAAGAATTAATATTTTTAAAAAATAATTTTCTTTATTAATTTTTATATTCTCCAATTTTAATATTATGTTAATTTTATATTTATAATGTATCTAATATATCAAAAACATATCCAATTCAATTAATCTTATAAAATTATAATATTATTTTATTTTCTATTAATTAAAATTTGCCAATCATTTTAAGTAATATTCAAAGCAATTGTATTTATTTCTGTTTTAGAGTTGAATATTAAAAAACCAATAAAAGTAAATCAACAATACAATGTATTGAAGAATAATTATTCTTTTTCATCAATTACGTTACAATCAAATAAGTCACTTCAATCAATTGTTCAACCTACAATTATCAAACAATTTCAAAATTCTAACATTGATCATACATTATCTTCAAAATCAACCATACCAAAAACTATACCTGAAAAACCTAAGTTACAATTATCTATAGTATCAAACATGAAAGTTGATTCTCTGAATGAATCTATGCAAACAAAAGAAAAAAAGCAAATAACAAAACAGCCGAAAAAATTAGAAAATAACTCTATGCCTTTAATGGGTATGTTTACCAATCCAAATGGCATTTCACATGGTGAGTTAATAATAAGCTTATTACTTTTTTTTTTATTTGAATTGAAATATTAACAAAATTAATATTAAAAATGTGATTATATAATCGTAAAAACATTGTTATTAAAAATAACTTAATATCAAATTCTTATTATCGTAACATCTTTTCTTGTTTTCAAATTTCTTTTAAAGTTTTAAAATTTTTTGTTTCTTGATATCTAATTGCATAATAATAATTCAAATTATTCAATTTTTTATAATTTTTTATTATATTTAAATAAATGATAATTAAATAATTATTTTAAATAATTATTAACAATTAAATAGGTTTATTGAAGTTTCCTCCAGTTCCTTCGGAGCCACCTCCATCGCATATACCAGCTTTCAAATATCCGATCGATAATAATGATCTCACAAGTAATAATAAAAGCATAAAATACAATAAGAATATACAAACAGATAAAAAACAAAACACAAGACAAGAAGTGAATAAAACTGAAAATGATGCATCTCATATTATTTCGAATAATAAAATACATCCATCAAAACCAGCTCTTCCTAGTTTACCTAAAGCTAAATCTTTATACGATTACAAACCACAAGATAAGGATGAAATAGAACTTAAAGAAGGTGATATTCTAGAAATACTTAAAGAACGTAAGTTTAAATTAATATAATTAAGATATATAAATATATAACCAAATTATATATAAAAATTATTATAAATAATATTTATATAAATAAATTTTATTTATTATAAAAATACGAAATATTATAAATATAAAATATATATTTACGAATCATTGGAAATATCATTATACATAAATTGTAAATTTATTTTTATATATTTTTTCAATTGAATTTTTTATAACTTTAAATACATACAGAATTTGATCAAAATAAAAAGAAAATTTAATAGATGATTCTAAAAATTAAAATAAGAAGAAAATAAATTAAAAATAATTTTGTCTAAAATTCTTTTTTTAGTTGATGATTAAATATCAAGGAAAATATGGACGCGAACAAATTTTTTTATACAAGTAATAGTAGAATTATTATCAGTACAGGAAACACTATAGTTTTAAAATATTTCATTATATATTTTATAAGTCATTTTATTTATTTATTTATTAAATTTATTTATAGTGCTATAAATTAATTCGAATTCTTATATAAAACATAATATTTAATTTCAGATGAAGGTGGTTGGTGGTATGGCAGATTAAAAGGAAAAACTGGACTGTTTCCTTCAAATTATATTGTTAAGATATAAGATATTAGATATTTTTATATATGATATGAATATAATTTATAGTATTATTTACGCAAAAAAATAATGTAATAGCTTTAACTAAATGAAACCAAATGAAATGAACTTTTTAAAAAATAATTCAAAATAGATTAATTTTTTTCAAAATATATATTTATACATATATGTATATATATTATAAAAAAAGTAATATATTATTATAAATAAAAAAGATAAATTAATTTAATAATTGATGAATTAAATTTTAAGCTTTAAATTTTGAAAGAAATATACTACATTTATAATTGTAATTATTTTATAATATGAAGCATTATAGTTGTTATAAAATAAAATGTATATTATAGTTTGTAAATGAAAAATATTAAATTGTAAAATTTTATATTTAAACTTTTTGTTATAA